TATGATATCAGGATTGCCAGAGATGTAGAGGAAACAAAACCTTAAGACATTCCTTATTGACACAAACTCATTTTAAAGTTTATTTTTTAAGATTGCTGTAATTAAACCTTTACTTAAGAAACAAAACCTTGGCACGGGAATCCTAGCCAATTATAGACCTATATCCAATCTAACTTTCATATAAAAAAATTCTAGAGAAAATAGTTGCAGGTCAGTTGCAATGGAGAAGTAATCTGTTTGAGCAGTTTCAGTCAGGGTTTAGAGCACAGACACAGCACTGGTGAAAGTTATATTCTCATGGCTTCAGACAATGGACTTGTGTCTACACTGGTCCTGTTAGACCTCTGTGCGGCATTTGATAAAGTAGATCACAATATTCTACTACAGAGCCTTGAATATGATATTGGGATTATAGCAATGGCTCTAAATTGGTTTAACTCATATCTATCTGATTGATTCCAATTTGTAAATGTAAATAATAAGTCTTATTTTTTCATTCATTCATTCATTCAACCTTTATTTAAACAGATAAGTCACATTAAGCCTCAAAGACTCATTTACAAGTGAGGTCTGTTTGGATAGACAATAAAAGTGGCAAACTGGACACATGTAGAAATTGGAGGCGAAAAAATTCCTATCAGACTTTTTTTTTCCTACTTGAGAAGAAAAATAACTTTGATATTAAAAAAACACCTCACACAAACAAGCACATAGTGACGTAGACATTCTGCAGAGGGGAGATGACGAGAGTGGTGAGCACGATCAAAGATGCTCTCGAGGGCATTGCAAGAGTTCTGATAAAGAAGGAATAATCAGCCAGTGTCCTCTGGTGAGATCCATAAACATTCTCGAGGTATGTCGAGGAATGGCCAAGAATAACAACTATGAGAATCCTAGAGTCCTGAAATGATGACACAAAGTTTATTCAGCTGGTTTCATCTGGTTATCAGTTGGAAATTCCTCAGGGAGGGGGTGGTGAGCGTCAGATCACATGTTCTCCAGGCGGATTCAGATAAGATGGCCTTCAAGACCAGCCAAGGGAGCCAAATTCAA